CTTTGGATCTAAGTGCAATTTGAGGGAAAGTAGTTTTTCTTGGATAAATTTGGGTGCTCCTTTGTTTAGGGAATAGATATTTAGAATTGTAAAATCCTCCTGAAGGAGAGATCCCTTAATTAGTATGTAGGGACCTTCTTTATCTTTTCTCTTTTAATTTGAAATACATTTTATCTGATATTAGGATTGCAACTCCTGCCTGTTTATGGGAGCCGTTTGCTTGGTAGATTTTGTTCCAGCCTTTCACATTGAAACTGTGTTTGTTTTTATGGGCATGATGTGACTCCTGAAGGCAGCAGATAGAAGCGTCTTGCTTTTTCATCCAACTAGACAGTTTATGTTACTTAATTAGCCAGTTAATTCCGTTAATGTTAATAGATAGGACTGAGAGTTATTTGGGAATTCGGGCCATTTTATCCACCTTGGGGGATGTGGCACCTGGGTTTTTCCTATGGCTCTTGGATTCTCAATTTGGGTACTGTTTCTTGGCCTTTATTTTGGTTTGGTTGGTTTTCTATGTGTAGGACATCTGTAAGAATCTTTTGTAGGGCTGGTTTGGTGGAGAAATATTGTTTGTTTTCCTTTGCTACGGAAGGTTTCTATTTGACCTTTGGTTATGAAGGAGTGTTTAGCTGGGTACAGAATTCTTGGTTGATAGTTGTTCATCTTTAGGGCATAGCATACATCATTCCAGGCTTTTCTTGCTTTGAATGTTTCTGCTGAGAAATATGAGGTGATTCTAATTCGATTCCCTTTGTAGCTGATTGATTTTTTCTCCTTGATAGCTTTAAGGATCTTTACTTTGGTCTGAATTGATCCTGTGTGGATTGTAATGTGGGATGTCCTATTCTTGTCTGCTCTTGTCAGCTTCTTGAATCTGAATAGGCCTTCTTTTTGCAGTTTGGGAAGTTCTCTGCTAGTGTTCTGTTAAACAAATTTCCTAGACCATTAACTTCTGTCTCTAGGTGCTCCTCTACACCCATTATCCTCAGATTAGGCCTTCTGATGGTGTCTTCCAAGTGTTGAATAGATCTATCATATTACTTGGATATGTCTTGGATGGTTGTATGTTCTTTCTCTATATATATCTAGGCTGTCTTCAATGCTCGAAATTCAATCTTTTGAATGGTTTAACCTACTATCAAGAGTTTCTATTTTGTTTTTTATATCTTTTACTTCTAGTTGGTCGGCTTTGATGGCTTCAAATTTTCTTGGAGCTTTGTTTTAGATCTTGTATGTACTTCTTTACTTCGTTAATTTGTTGTTCAGTGTTTATTCTCAAATCACTTAGTTGATTGGTTATGGTTTCCTTGGACTCCCATTCCATTCCTTCTGTTTGGTTCCATTCAGCATTCCCTTTGTGGTCTCCCTGAGTTCTTTCAGCTCTCTGTTTATGGATTCCATGAATGCCTTTATTGATCTTTCTGCATTTTCATCCCGCTCTCTCAATTCCTGTATTACTCTTTGATTAGCTTCCTCATGTTCATGCAATTCGTGTAGTTCTCTATGAGTGATCTCAGCCTGCTCATACCATTCCCTTATTTCTCTTTCAGTTTTCTCAGCCTGCTCATGCCATTCCTGTATCAATCTTTGAGTAGCTTCCTCATGCTCATGATATTCCTATATTGACCTTTGTTTGGCCTCCTCTCTCCTTATCACACTCATACAGAGTCCTTTGCATGCTTTCAATCTTTTCACTTACCACGTTTACCAGTAGGGTTTGTAGAGCTTTTTGGGAACTCTCCAATGGATTATTCATTATCTGTTCTGTCCCCTGATTATCATGAGTGGAATTTGAAATACCTGGACTTGCCATTTTTCTTGTGTTTTTCTGTCTTGCCCTGCCCATTTTGGATGAAATTAACAACAGTTTTGTGTTACAACACTATTTTAAGGCAAGCATCAACAAAATCTGTAGTTGCACAGTCAAAAGTCTGCAGATACAAACTAGTTCAGCAAATACATCTATTCAACATCAAACAACTATATATTAATGGGCTACGAACTGCAAAGAAGAATTTGGCAAACAGAAATTATTAGGTTTAGGGAGAGATGTGGGTAAAAATAAGAATAGAGGGTTGTGAAAAGGCAGAGGGAGAGTTAACTTATCTAAGTCCTAATCTCAAAGCGGGAAATAGGTTGGATAGGATGAAAGTAGAGAGAGAGAAAAAAGAAGAAATAGAAAGAAAAAAGACAAGAAAAAATAGAAAAAAAATTTAAAAATGCAACACTTAAAAATTATCCAAATTTGAAAACATAATATTCACTAAAGAACGTGGATAGAATAAGAAAATGGAAGGGATAGAAAGAGATGTGAAAAACTTAAAAATAAAAATGCTTAAAATATTATATATTTATAAAGCGGTAGTACTGCTATTAAGGAATTTAAGTCTAAGGTTTTAAACTGAATAATAAATTTCTGGATTCAGTTTTTACACAATTGGGGCTGAGGTAAATTTTTTATAAAAGGTACAAAAGAAGTATGCTTTGATGTTTTTTTGGGGGATGGGAAGTTCCTGTATCTCCCTTGTGTATGTAACCATTTTCTTGTTGGAGTCTCTGGTCTGTTTGTGGTATTTGATTTTCCTGTGGCTTGGTTGGTTTCTTAAGTCAGTTTGTTTGACCAGGCAGAAAAATGCTCTGCTTTACCCAGTATTTTATGATCCCCCTCCCAGGATAGTTCAATGGGAGGGAAATCTGCTTTGAATATCACAAAAGAGGGAGATGGCTGTTTCCTCTAGTTTGGAGATGCTGTGACGAGGCTAGGTTCTGGGTAGAATTGAGGCCTTTCAGCAAACAGCAGCTTTTCCCTGAGGAGCTAACTTCTGGAGCCCAGCCTGGAGCCATTCTCAGGGTTTATGTTTACTCACTTTCAATTGATTGTCAAAGAAGTTGTAGGGAGGGGCAGCCTCTGCCTCTGTTTACCCAGTGAAGAAATTCACTGCTGGGGCTGGTGGAGCTTGCTTGGCCAGGGCTGGGTGACATTTCCCTGGATGGAGCTGAACATGGCAGGTCAGGTTAGGGTGCTGTGACCTGCTAAATGACTCTTGTTTTCTTCCAAGGCCTGAGTTGGAGCTAACTGCTCTGCCAGGCGTTTGTCAGTATCAAAGATGGAGATCCCCCTAGTGGTGGGGAGGGGTGACCTTCCCTCCTCTGCTCCCTGAGAAGGAGTGGGGATATCAGACTTCAACTCAAACCATAGTCAGTTTCTGGGTCATCCCTGATCTGCGAACTACAGGATGAAAATGTCTGCTCCTTGTCAGTTCTTGCTGGTGTTGAGTAGAATCCGCTTGCCCACCGCATCTGGTGCTTTGTCCCGTACTCTCTGTTTCAGGTATGGCGGCTATGGTGGCAGAAGAGCCGCCGCAGACGGGGCTGCTGGCAAGTTTTCAGATCTGTCTCCTTGCCTGGATTTTCCCTCTCTTGCCTAACTCTCTGTCCTGTAATGGCACCCTTGGTGTGATTCTCTGGCTTAGGACTGTTCACTGGAACACTAAAACTGCTATCTATGCTAGAGCTTGTTTATCCTGTAGCTTGATGATAAAAGAGGACTCCATGAAGTAAAGTTTCTTCTACTTTTAAAATTATTCTTAAAGCCTTGTTCTGGTTGGTCCACTCCGCATATCTACTCAGTAGCTTGAGATCTGTGGATAAGTGTTGGAAGCCAATCAAGGCAAAAAAAAATACATGAAATTATTTTTGAAAAATGTAAATGAACTAGAAAAGGGCCAGGAATGGAGATGTAGCTCATATACTAGCTCACCAATCTAGAGAAGAAAGACCTAGCAATGCCTTGAATCCCTGAGTTCAAACTGAGCATGCCAACAAACAGGCACACACACGCACTCGCGTGCACGTGTGCACACACACACACTTAATCAAAATTTCTTCAGGTCAGCGTTTTATATTAATTTCTTTGTTAACGATATTATATGGGTAAAATAATAGAAATTATCTCTATCTCAGAACATTTTTAAACGTTTATTATTGTAAAAATACTGTACAGAGCGTTCACAGTTATTTGAGCAAGGTAATGAGTATCAAGAATTGTTACCTCCCCTTTGTTTTCCCCCACCATCCCTTCCCTTCCACCTTCACAAGTACACTGCTCACCACCCACCACCCCTCCACCCCAACCCCACCTAAATTATTTTTTAACATAGTGTCTTGTGCATCTCATTGTTACAATGGGTCAACCTGTATCTCTAAACATTTTGTTTTTTTCCCTTTCCCTCCCCTAATTAGAGAAGTGTATATACAAAATGCAGGCGCACCAACATCAAATACTGTGAAAACAGGGGTTATGCTGTGTGGGAGGACCATATAAAAAACTAAAAACTAACATCATACATTATAAATGCGTCAGAAACAACAGCAAAACACTTGTGTTCCTATCTTGGGGTTCTTTAGCTTAACATCACCTTATCTAGTCATATGCATATAGCTTTTGACCATTTCTGCTTATCCCAGACATAGATTTACTTATTGCAAATAAGGGATACCATGGGACCTGTTTCTTTGGACTTGGCTTACTTCAGTTAATATAATTTTTTCTAAGTTTTTCCATTTCATAACAAATTGGGTGATGTCATTCATTCTGATGGACGATAGAATTTCCATTCTCTCTCTCTCTCTCTCTCTTTCTCTCTCTCTCTCTCTCTCTCTCTCTCTCACACACACACACACACACACACACACACACATACACACACGTTTTCTTGATATATTCATCTACTGAGGGGCATCGGGGTTGGTTCTATATCTTACCTATGGTAAATAATGCTGCAATAAACATAGTTGTGCTGGTAGTTTTAATATGGTCTTGTTTGTGATCATTTGGGTGAATGCCCAAAAGTGGGATTTCTGGGTCATAGGAGAGCTGTATTTGGAATCTTTTGAGGAACTTCCATACTGCATTCCAAGTGGTTGAACAAGTCTACACTCCCACCAAGAATGCAGTAAGGTTCCCTTCTGGCCACATCCCCTCCAGCATTTGTTGTAAAAATTTGGAACGCTTCATGAATTTGTGTGTCATCCTTCCACAGGGGCCATACTAATCTTCTGCGTATTGTTCCAATTTTAGTGTATGTGCTGCCTAATTGAGCACAGAATATTTTTTATTTATAATGTGGAATTGATTTTCTTAAACGAGATAATTCAACAAAAAGTAAGTTCAAAAGTATTGTCTTGAAATTTTAGAACCATATATTTCTTATATAAGCACACATTTAAGAATAAATTCAAGATTGATATGTCAAAAACAAAATAATTCCAGGTATTTGTTGTTCAAGAGATGTGTAGCAGGAGTATTTGAATTATTCTATACAAGGCACCTATCATAATGAACACTGCAGTAAGTGTTAAGGTTTCTTAAAAGTTTTAATCTTTTGGGCTAGGAAGGTGGATCAGTGATAGAGCAATGCCTTGCATGCATGATGTCCTTGGTTCGATTCCTCAGCCTCACATAAGTAGAAAAAAAGCCAGAAGTGGTGTTGTGGCTCAAGTGGTAGAGTGCTAGCCTTGATCTGAAGAGCTGAGGGACAGCGCCCAGGCCCAGAGTTCTGGACTCACGACCAGACCCTCCCCCAAAAAAGTTTTAATGTTTTAAATATGTTTAATTTTGGAAATTGGCTTATATATGCCAAAAGTAAGATTTTGGCAGGTCATAAAACTTTTCCTTAAAGTATTTAAGATTTATGGTAGCATACATATACTACTAAGTATGTACATTTCAGAGTTTATAGAAACGTTACTAATGAGAAGTTGCAAAGTCTTTGTGTAAAGAAACAGAGTGTGAAGAGGTAAGAAGTTAACTACAAAGTTTCTGTTAAAACTTTAGGGCTTCCTTTCTTTATATGTTAGGGAGGAACAAATGATGATATAAACCATATATAAATGATGAGATGAAAAATAAATAGTAATCTTAGAGGGTAACTATAAAGACTACTAATAGCCTATAAAACTCTTGTTGAACATCATAATATTAGCCAGTTTTAAATGTACAGGAAAATGAGAAACAGTAGTCTAATGTGTAGTACACTTCAAATACTGGAAACACTGGTATTTGGTTTTTATTTTATTAATCATTAACATTTAATTATTGGTTTTCTTTATTTGTAGCATTGTTTTCCTTGTTATAATATATTACAAATTTTTGTAAGTCGTTATTACGAGGTACTTTGAGAATGTTACTGGGATGGCCACACCATTTTTTATAGGTGCATGTGAATTTACAAAGAGCAAAATTAAGAACACAATATTGATTAAAAATTTTCTCAAGTAGAGTCTGAATCATGATTGTTGATAAATGTCCACACCTAAAATTTTAGCCCTAGGCTGAATCAGTGGTATTACAGAGTTGGGGCCACAAAAGTGAGAGACTGTGTTTTGCTTAGTTTTTTGTTTTTTTTTTTTGTTTTTTTTTTTGGTTGTGGGTCTTGAACTCTGAGTCTTGGATACTGTTCCACAGCTCTTTAGCTCAAGGCTAATGCTACCAGTTGAGCCACAGCTTCACTTCTGTCTTTTTCTGCTTATGTGGTACTGAGGAATCAAATCCAGGGCCTCACGCATGCAAGGCAAGCACTCTACCACTGAGCCAGCTTCCCAGCACCTGAGAAACTGTGTTTTAAAAATCATCTAAACAACTTTTGCTTTCTGCTTTGGGTTATATAATGAAATATATGAATATCTTTTTATATTTTTGTGAATTGGCATACTTCTAAATTTATACTAACTTCAGCTACTTTATCCTTTTAAAAGTCATGAAATATCTCTGAGAGTTTGCTTCTGTAAAGGTTGTTTTTGCATTTATAATTTCTTCTGAGTAACCTTTATTTTTATCAAAATCTATTTATATTTTATGTTGATGGGTTATCATACATGAAATACCTTCAAGTGTACATGTAGAGTTTAAAGATAGCAGTAGGAATATTCTCATAAAGCTCTTATTTATCTGTTATGTACTTTAAGTATTATGCTATTTTTCTCTCTCTTTCATTCTCTCTCATTCCCGCTCTTTCTCTTTCATGCTCCATGTCTGCTACTTAGAATTTCTGCAGGTCTACTATTATCCGTCAGGGTCCACTGGTTTTGTGGGAACATGATAGGAAGCATCAGTTACTCTTGCATTTTTAAGAGTTATAACAGTCTTTTGAGGAACCTTCATACTGCTTTCATAAGTGGTTGAACAAGTTTACACTCCCACAAACAATGAAGTAAGGTTCCCTTCTGTACACATCCCATCCAGCATCTATTGTTAGAGTTCTGGATTTTTGCCATTCTAACTGGAGTGAGGTGGTAGCTCAATGTTGTTTTGATTTGCATTTCTTTTATGGCTAGGGAGGTTGAGCATTTCTTCATGTGTCTATTGGCTAGCCTTCTTTCTTCTTCAGAGAAGTTTCTCTTTAAGTCTTTAGCCCACATATTTATTGGGCAGTTGTTTCTTTGAGGATTTGTTGTTGGGGGATTTAATTTTTTGAGTTCCACGTATATTTTAGATGTGAGACCCTTTTCTGTTGTATGGCTAGTGAAGATCTTCTCCCAATCCGTGGGCTTTCTATTGATCTTGTTGGCTATGTCCTTTGTCATGCAGAAGCTCTGCAACTTCATGCAATCCGGTTTGTCCAACCTTTCTTTGATTTGCTGTGTTTCTGGGTCTCTATTAAGAAAATTTCGGCCTGCGCCAAGGAGACTTAGGGTTTCTCCTATTCCATTCTGTAATGTTTTCAGAGTGTCTGCTTTGACTTCAAGGTCTTTGATCCATTTGGAGTTGATTCTGGTGCAGGGTGACATATAAGGATCTAGCTTTAGTTTTCTATAAGTAGTTAACCAATTTTGCCAGCACCATTTACTGAAGAGGCTGTCTTTGTTCCATTTTATTGTTTTAGCTCCCTTATCCAAGTTTAGATGGCTATCAGTCTGTAGGTTCATTTCTGGGATTTCAATTCTATTCCATTGGTCCTGAGGTCTGTTTTTATGCCAATACCAACAAGACAAGGATGTCCACTCTCTCCACTTCTCTTCAATCTAGTATTAGATGTGCTGGGAACTCTAGATTAAATCACTGAACACCTGATATATACATATATATATATATATATATATATGCACATATATTTGTATATGTACATTCATTTATATATGCTAATATGTGTGTATATGCTCTTATATATGTACACATGTATGTTACTGTACACACAAATATACATATACACATGTATACATACACATATGGGTAAGACATAGTTTCAGTACCTATTGAATATGCCTTAGATGAAATGCTTGGAACCAAATATGTTGAAGATGTATTTGTCTCTAAGAGTTCTTTTGATACTCCTCTTATCTCTTCAAACTGGTAGGTTTTGACAGATTCAACTTGCAAAATGCAGTACAAGTGATAGCAAATCACTCAGAAATCTCAGTAAGTAAAGGTAATAAGGTCATATGGTGTCTCCTAGCCCCGCATGGAATACTTTGCTCTTATAAACACTCTCAACAACCAAAGCAGCAAGATAATACTCTGGTAAAGGATAATGTTATAAGGCTTTAAATGGCATCCTTCCTTGAGCTCTTTTCCAACAGCTAGCATCAATTCCTAAGCAGAAGAGTGAGTCCTCAGAAGACTGGAGCTCAGGTCAACATTTAAGAGTTCTATGAGAGAAATGTTGACTGAGGTGTTGCTGATTTCCTGGCCAAGAAAATAAGAAAAAGTAAAGTATTTTAATGTATTAAAATATGAGAATAATTTGTAACCTATCAATATATGTGTAGAATACAATTATACCACATGATGGACAAAATGGCAGGAACTCCCAAATAACTCTCAGTCCTATCTATCAACATTAATGGACTTCCAATTAAGAGACATAGATTGTCTAGCTGGATTAAAAAGCAAGATCCTTCTATCTGCTGCCTTCAGGAGTCACATCTTGCCAATAAAAACAAACACATTTTCAATGTGAAAGTCTAGAACAAAATCTACAAAGCAAACGGCTCCCATAAACAGGCGGGAGTTGCAATCCCAATATCAGATAAAATAGACTTCAAATAAAAATTAGTGAGAAGAGATAAAGAAGGTCGCTACATACTTATTAAGGGATCTCTCCTTCAGGAGATATTACAATTCTAAATATCTATTCACCAAACAAAGGAGCACCTAAATTTATCCAAGAAACATTACTTTCCCTCAAATAGCACTTAGATCCAAAGACATTAATTGTTGGGTACTTTTACACACCACTTTCCCAACAAGATAGATCTACTTGGCAAAACCTCAACAGAGAAACCACAGATCTAAACAACTGCATACATCAAATAGATTTAACAGACACCTACTGCATATTTCACCCAGCAGCATCAGAATATACTTTTTCTCAGCAGCACATGGAACATTTTCCAAAATAGACCACATTTTTGGTCACAAAGCAAACTTGTCCAAATTCAGAAACATAGAAGTTATACCTTGCATTCTCTCAGACCACATGGGAGTAAAATTAGAACTCAACACCAAAAGCCACCAAAGAAAATCCTATAACACATGGAGGCTGAACAACACACTACTGAATCAAAAATGGGTCATGGAAGAGATTAGAAAGGAAATTCAAATGTTCGTGATATTCAACAAAAATGAACACACAAATTACCATCTCCTCTGTGACACAACAATGGCAGTACTCAGGGACAAGATTATAGCTTTCAGTTCCTACATCAACATATTGGAGAGATCTGAAACCAACAATTTAATGAGACATCTGAACCTCCTTGAAAAAGAGCAGTAAGATAAACCCCAATACAGTAGACAAAAAGAAATAGTTAAAATTAAATCAGAATTAAATGAATTAGAATCCAAAAAAACGTACAAAAATCAACAAAATAAGTAGTTGCTTCTTCGAAAACATTACCAAAATTGACAGACCCTTAGCAAATCTTATGAGAAAAAGAAGAGAACACACCCAAATAAATAAACTCAGAGGTGATAATGGAAATATCACCACAGAAACAACCAAGAATCAGGACATTATAAGGGAATACTTCTCAAAATTATATGCTAATAAGGTTGAGAACTTGACAGAATTATTGACATGCCGAAACAAAACCAAGATGAGTTAA